GAGAAAGGCAGGCCTGGCTGCTGGGTCTCCACCCTGAGGCCCGGCCTGCTCCCGTGTGCCGCCAGCCACAATTCCGATGTCTTTATCTTTGCGCCGACCTCCTTGAGGGCCCAGTCCCTCTCAGACTGATCATTAATTTCTATCTAACTTGGCTGCCTATAACAATTGGTACATTTACATGCTATATACATGCTGTAAGTATTTTATAGAGCATGAGTACTGTGAATAAACGATAGACTATCACATCACATTCTGTTTGCTCTTTCTGCATGGGTTTACACATCCAGCCCATGAAGCAGCCTTCCTGGGAGGCAAGGGCAGAGGCAAAGGCTCAGGCTTCTGCCTAGTGTGGACATGTGGGTGCAAGGACGCCAGGACATGGGCCAAGGACCAGGCCAGATGAGGACTCCTCCGTGGGCAGGGCCATGACAGGGGGCAGAACCGTGTGGGGTGAGGGACCCGGGGCTTAGAGCACCTGTTTTTATTATTTCTCTGGGTTCACTGCAGCAATCGTGGTAACAGGGTAACATATCTGTGGGCCTGCTGCAGGGCATTCCTAAGGAGTCCTCCAGACTCCTGCGCCCAGGCGCAGTCAGAGCTCCACACTCTCCCAGATCAGCAGCCAGGCTGCGGGGTTTCTGCTCTGCACCCTGGAGGGCAGGCCCTGCCTCTGCTCTGCAGCGACTGGCCTGGATGTGGTCACATGACTCAAGCAGGACCAATCACATCCCCGTCCTGAGATGTTTTTCTACGGAAGCTGACCAAGGAGCCCTTTCTCCTTTGCCACAACTCCAACACAGTGCCAAGAGGCGCTTAGAGCTGTGCCATCTGGCTCTTGGAGACTCGGGAAGTATAAAGGCACCGTCCCACTGATGCTGGAGGCCTCAGATCTGCCTGTCTCTGAGGCCTGTGCTGCCCTGACCTCCCTCCTGTGGCCCATGAGCTCAGAAGTGTCCGTGCTGTGCCTGGGCCCCTCCGCCTTGGGTTCCACCATGACGGTGTGCCCGGCCAAAGCGGGGAGGCCCTGGAGGCTCAGTTTGCCCACAAGGTCACAGAGGACTCCCAGGACTTGTCGTTCCGTCTCATCAACGGTCTTCCTGGAGAGCATGGAGCTCAGAAGCCAAGGCCTGGGATCTGTGCAGCAACCCTTTAGAAAAGGCCGTCTCAAGTGGCTGGTGGCTTCCCAATCCAGGTACAGCCAGCCTGTGTATCCAAGGGTTTCTGTCCAAGGGTTTCACCAACTTGTCAGTGTTCTTTAATCTCCTGAACTTCTACAGGCCGTCTTGTCACTATTCCCCAAACAGTACAATAACAGCTGTTGGCCGGCCTTTGTACTCAGTGAGGAGGCGGTGCCCAGGTCCTGTGCAAATACCGCACCATCTTACAGAGGGAACTCGAGCGTCTGAGGACTGGGTCTCCAAGGGGGCCCCTGGCACCGATCTGTGCAGGATGAGGGTCAACTGTACCTGGAGTCTCCTCACAGCTTTTTTTTTTTTTTCCTTCTCCTTACCTTGGGTTTACTTTATATTTCTTTTTTGGGGTTGTGGAGTATGAGCTTAGATGGCTGATAGGAGACTTCTCTCATACTAGCGCTCTGTGCTATAGCTTTCCCTCTAGGCACGGCTTTAGCTGTGCTCCACAAACTTCACTGTGGCATTTTCATTTTCATCCAATACTCTTTTTTTTAACTTTTAGATTTCCTCTTTGACTCATGCACTGCTCTAAAAGTTATTCTTTGCTGGGGATTTAGCTCAGTGGTTCTGGTGCCTGCCTCACAATTGCAGGGACCCAAGTTTGATCCCCAGTGCAAAAAATAAAAATAAAAGTGATTCTTTAGCTCCCAAATGTCTGGAGATGTTCCTGTTATCTGTTACTGATCTCTAGTTTTTTCCCACGGTGGCACGGTCAGAAGATTCACTCGAGGACTTCAGTTCTTTTAAGTTTGCTGCGCTCACTGTATCACCTTGTGTGTGGTCCGTCTGGGTCTGTGTTCCAAAGGCGCTGAAGAAGGTGTGGGCTGCCGGTGTTGGGCGGAGCAGCAGTAGTCTCCTTGCCAGTGTCTGTTTAGATGTCTGAACAGTGTTTGAGGGGCACTGAAATCTCTGAACTGGGGTTGTAAAGGTATCTGTTTTTCTTTTCTCCATTTCGTTTTACATGTTTTTTCTGGAATATACACATTTAAGATGTCTAGGCCTGGTTGGTGATTTTCACCCTTTTCGAATTATATATTGTCCTTCACTGTCTCTGGAAGTTATCTTGGCTCTGGGACAGTACTTCCTGATATTTCGACAAATGTCTGCATGATATATAATTTTTCATCCTTTTACTTTTTGTCCCCCCCATCTGATAAGGTCTCACTTTGTGTTTCAGGCTGGCCTCAATCTTGCAGCGATCCTCCTGCCTCAGCTTCCCAAGTGTTGGGATTACAGGTGTGCCCCACCACGCCCGGCTTTTCTGTTCCTCTTGGGTAAATATCAGAGTGGAATTTCTGGTCCATATTCAGGTTCTTTCTTACTTTCTTTCTCTTTGCTCTGCCAGGGCCTTGTGCACTCTGAGCAGGCTCTGTACCACTGAGCCCCCCAACCCCTAAGCGGTCTAATGAAACCGCAGCCCTGTAGATGTGGGTGGGCTTCACTGCCCGCAGCCTTCTCCAGCCGTTGGTGACAGCAGCTTCCGTTTCAGTCCTTCGGACAGCAGGGTCCCATCACAGCTTTTTCAACTTCATTACACAGGTAAGTAATGACGGATGTGCTCCTGAGCCATGTGGACATCTTCTTGTGGGGTATGTCTTTTGCTCATTTTTTTTAAAATTATTTTTATGACAGCTTAAACTCAGCAAAATTACACTTCTCAGTTTAATAAAATCAATCATTTATTTTTCTGTTTATTTTATGGTACCTTTTGCCAAGGGAAACGTAAGTGTAAGTGTTTTGTGACACTTCTAGGAAGCCTCTTTTATTTTTATTTTTTGGAAGCATCTTATAAGAAGGACATACTCCTCATCTTTCCTCTATCAAGCTGCCTGGAACACACATGTGAGGGCTGGAGTGCTGGCATCCATATTGACAATGAGGTGGACATAGGACTAAAAGGCACAAGACTGGCTGAAGGAGCTTCACATCGTGAAGATATAGTACTAGACACAAAACTGTCTACTTTCATACTTCTTGTACATGAGACAGAAATAAACTTCTATCTTGTAGTAGCCTATATTATTCAGGACTGTTCCTCACAGCTGAGCCAGTAATAACTAATATATAAATATCATTTGGCAAATTGTCTACCTTCCATTTTCACTAGTCTCTAATGAGCTTATAAAAGAGCAATGCGGATACCTATGATTCAAGTCGGGCCCGAGTATGTCGTCCCGCCGTCTTATTACTCAAGTCTCCTCCAGATACTCTGCATAGGCTGTTAACTCGAGAACGGGTGCTTCCAGTCAGTGCTCTAACACCAGCGCTCTGGCAGGCCGAGGCCGAAGATCACATGTTCCAGCCCAGTCTAGGTAACTCAGCAACTGAGTGAGGTCCTTCGTCAAAACAAAAAACAAAACTAAAAGCGCTGGGATGTAGCTCCACGCTAAGGATCCGCGTTCAATCCTTAGTACTGGGGATAGTCGAGGAGCGAGCCCCGTGTGAAGACCCCATCAGAGCTGCCCCACGAAGGGAGGGGCTGGTTGCTCAGTGTTCGGATGGGGCTCCCTGGTGTCATGGTCTTGGTGGCTGAGCTCCTGGCCTACCCTGGGCCCTGAACTGGGCACCACTGTGCCGGTCACAGACAGCGGCCACACCCAGGAGCCGTCTCCTCTGCTGCAGCAGGGTCTTCGGGACAGCACTGCCCACCGACCCCAGGGTGCCCGAGGACCCGGTGAGACAGCAGGTTCCGGAGGACCACGAGTGACACCTCCACCCCCAGCGGGAGCGGCGGCCTGGCTCTGGCTCCAGCTGACCCGGAGCGAGCTTCCAGCTGCTGATCTGCCTGGAGACTGTGCAGGGCACCGCCAGCACACGCTGCCCGGGACGCCCGAGTCGGTGGTGAGTGCTCGGGAGAACGCCTGTGGGAACCTGGGAGACGGTCCCCGAAGCCCTGGGCGGGCTGTGTCCCCGTCCGGCAAAGTGCTCAAGGGTGGGCCTGGGACCCGTTCTGGGAGAGACCCTACAAGGGGGAGGAGGAGGGAAAAATGGAAACAAAGCTCTTGCAGATAAGGAGGGGAAGAAAAAAATGAGGTAAGAAGGGTGTGGGGGACAGTGAGGGCCGATCAGGTACAGGTGCAGATTCCCTAGGACGAATGTCGTTACGCACAACTGCAACGTGCCCCTAGTCGTTAGTGAAAAACAAAGTGATGTCTCGGGGCCGGGCTTGGCTCCGCGGGTCAAGCCCCAGGTCCGCAGTTCGATCCCCGCACGAAAGGTGGCTCCTCGTGACCCCTGAGCCCTGCGGCGTGGGCCGAGACCGCGCGGGGCTGGCGCC